TCAGTGCTGAGGGAGCGCCGCACTGTGGGAGGGTCAGTGCTGAGGGATTGGGCACTGTCGGAGGGTCAGTGCTGAGGGAGCGCCGCACTGTCGGAGGGTCAGTACTGAGGGAGCGCCACACTGTCGGAGGGTCAGTGCTGAGGGAGTGCCGTACTGTCGGAGGGTCAGCACTGAGGGAGCGCCGCACTGTCGGAGGGTCAGTACTGAGGGAGCGCCGTACTGTCGGAGGGTCAGCACTGAGGGAGCGCCACACTGTCGGAGGGTCAGTACTGAGGGAGCGCCGTACTGTCGGAAGGTCAGTGCTGAGGGAGCGCCGCACTTTCAGAAGCACAATCCCTCCCACAAGATGTTAACGTGAGCCTCTATTCTCCTGTTTAGATGATTGTTAATGATTTTAGGCAGTGAATTACCACAGGGATCAGTGCTGGGGCCACAATTATTTACAACATAGAGTGATGACTTGAATGAAGAAAGTGAATGTGCTATTGCCAAGTTTATGCATGACACAAAATTAAGCAGGTTGTGAGGATAGCATGAAGAGTCTACAGAGGGATGTAGACATGTTAACCGAGTGGGCAAAAGATTGGCAGATGGAATATGATGAGGGAAATGTGAAGTACTTTGGCAGGGAGAATACAGGACTGAATATTATTTAAATGGTGATAGACTGTAGAAAGGTACAGCACTGTGGGATTTGGGAATCCTCATTCATAATTCTTAAAAAGCTATCATCCAAATTCAGCCGATAATCGGGAAAGCAAATGGAATATTGCCTTTTGTTTGAAAGGGAATGCAGTATAAGAGTAGGGAGATTTTGCTGAAACTATACAAGGTCCTCGTCAGACCGCAGCTGGAATTACTGTGGTTCCTTTGTCTCAGGAAAAAGGACAATTTCCTGCTGTTTGATTTTGCAGGCAGTGGCTGATCCTGGGTCTGGAGGATCTGTAGAATGAAGAGAGGTTTAGTTGGTTGGGCCTGTATTTACTGGAGTTTAGAAAAATAAGAGCTGACTTTATGGAAACATTGCAGATTCTTAGGGGATGTGACAAGATTGATGCAGAAAGAGTGTTTCCCTTGTGGAACAGTGTAGGACCGGAAAGAATCATCTCAGAATAAGGGGTCACACATTTGAGAGAGAAGTGCAGGGAAACTTCTTCTTCCAAAAGGGAGTGAATCTGTGGAATTCTTTCCCAGAGAGGACTGTTAAGGCTGGGTCATTAGGTTTAGTCAAGGCTGAGATGTACAGATTTTTAATGAGTGAGGAGAACGAGGGTTCTTGGGAAAAGATAGGAAAGTGGAGTTGTGGGTTATCAGTTCAGCCAGGATCTCATTGAATGGCAGAGCAGAAAACAGTCTTTTAGTAATGAGGCTAAGGCTCCATTTTTGTGGGTACTCAGGTAACTGGTAGGTGTGCATATCACTGGAATAAAATAAACAATTTCCTGCTGTTTGATTTTACAGCAATTAAAATAAATTTATTAGTCTGTTCGTTTCTCATTTGGCCCAGGACAATGTTGATGCTGAATATTGGCTTCAGATGATGCTCACGATGTGAACCCGTCGTTGTGCACAGACCAAAGGGTCCATCCTTGACTCGAGGGGTAAATGTGTGATCACGTTGCTGTCCTGCAGGTCCACTGCAATGTTCTCTGCCCCCTGGTAGACTGGGCACATGAAGAATGGGTAAAGGTACTGGGTATTAGTCACCTCATTGTGTTCTGCCCTGAGCCACACCACTGGCATGCTGCACGGTTTGACAGACAGAGTGTCCTGCAGGAAACCGTTTGTTATGTCCCAGAGAGCGTTGTGTATCCTGAGGCCAGTTATGTAGATACCATCCGCTGGGGGGCTGCTGGGAGGGAGGGAACTCCCCAAGACCTGAAACATTTAAACAAAGGTCTCAAGATTGATCAGCACCTTGTGCACAGATTGGCTTCACTCAGGGCTATACTATCAGCTGTCAGCAGAGACAGCCCAATTCAATCCCTCACCTCCAACCGGATTCCAGTCAGGGGCAGGAGAGAAACAGGAGGAGACACTGATCAGGCAGCAGCAGGTAATTGAGGAGGACAATCAACAAGCAAGGTCATGTTCTGGGGTGGGGTGGAGGGTGTCATGTTCTGGTTTGGGTCACGTTCTGGGTTTGTGATCCAGCCCAGTTTGTGATGTGGGTGTCACTGACAAGACTGGCATTTATTACCCACTTTTAATTCTCACCTTATGGGGTGGGGGGCGTCTGGAGCCACTAAGGTAGGGATGAGGCGTTATACCAATTAACAGCAGTCACATGGTCACTATTGTGGGTGGTCTAAATGTCTGCCTGGGAGGGAGTTGAGGCACGAAACTTCACAAACTTTAAGAAAAGGTAATACCCCACACACCAGGCCTTGTTATCACATAGCCTGCCATTACACACCCTCTGTTGTTAGTCACTAACAGTCCCCATTAACAACTATTCACCTTCCCAGCCTGATCGTTAGCAACTCCTTTGTCTGTCCAACTGTCTTTCTCTCTCTTTGGGCTTTATCCTATTATTTACTCCCTACCCCATCTCCCTCCCTATTTTCTGCATCTAAACTGACGTTTTCCCAGCTGCCATCAGTTCTGAGGAAGGGTCACCGGACCCAAAACGTTAACTCTGTTTTTTCCTTCACAGATGCTGCCAGACCTGCTGAGCTTTTCCAGCAACTTCTGTTTTTGTTCCTGTGTTTAAAAAAAGGTACTTGGATGAGCACCTGAAATGCCATTACATTTAAGGCTATGAGCCTTATTTGGATAAATTGGCACAGATTAAATGGGCTGAATGCCCTCTTCTACACTGTCTGATTCTATGAGACCAGTTTTTTTTTTATAAATTGACTTTAAATGTCACCATCACCCCTGGTGGCATTTGAACCTATGCCTCCAGAAGTTCTGGGTTACTAGTCCAGTGGCACAACCACTACACCAGCACCTCTCCTGAGTGCAATTGTCTCTGCTCTTCCTCCATGGTCCTGTAAGTGATCCCTTTCAAGTATTTCTCCAGCTCCCTTTTAGAAGGCTCCTGTTGAACCTGTTCCCACCATCCCCTCAGACAGCACGTCCCAGATCACAGCAGCTAGCTACAGGAAATAAAACCCCATCTTCTCCCCTAGTGCTTTAGAGAATAACTTCTTTGTGCAGGAAGATTAGTGAGGGGAACAGAGACTCAGCCAGCTTCAATATGAAAATGCTCGAAATAGAAGTACACTGAAGTGAATGGAATCCAACAATCCCAGAGATTCATCTAAACATAGTTGGATAAACATATGGATGATAATGGAATAGTTTAGGTTAGATGGGCTTCAGATTGGTTTCACAGGTCGGCGCAACATCGAGGGCCGAAGGGCCTGTACTGCGCTGTAATGTTCTATGTTAACAGGGGTTTTGCTCCAGGAACCCTTCCTAGTAAACTTAGCAGTTTTCTGAGGCCTAGGGATTGGACAGAAGTCTGATTAGGAGGCAGTATTCCTCAGAGAGAATGGGTCTGAACCAGGATATAACTGGCCTATTGGTTTAGCTTTGGTTCTAGACACTGGGATTGGGGACGGTCAGAGGTTGGGGTTGATGAGGGAGCTGGGTAGGTTCTGGTCTCTGCTCTGCAATGGTAAGGCCCAAGACATGCCCAGGCCTAGCCAGACTTTGTTACAGTGACGTACCTGACTTTGTATGCTGTATCTGTTCAGATCAAGATGCTCAGACTGAGCTTTCTGCTGCAGCAGAGCTCTGAGTAACAGGCGTGGATGCTGAAATGTTGTCAGGTTGTAGGAGACAGGAGGCTCTGGGCCATCCAGATAATTGTTCAGCAGCTGTAGCCTCATCTTCAGGAGCAGTACCCACTGCAGGAGTGGTGCTCTCACTCGGCTCAGTGACCTCCAGGCACCAGGAAGTTGGCCACTCCTCAGCGATTCAATCATGTCATCTGACTCGAGGTTGGAGAGTCTGGATCCCTCCAGAACATGCATCACATTGTTGAGGTCACACAGGACCTGGTCAACCAAGTGCCTGAAGTGATGCCTCTCCCTCAGGAGGAACCTCCTCATGAGCTCTGCACTGACCCACTTCCCGTCTCTGTCTTCAACCTCAGGGTTAGTTGTCATTGAGTTCTGCAGGTCCTGGAGAATGCTCAGAATATCACTGGCAAAGGCTTTCATTTTCTCGTTGTGGCTGATGTCTATTTGGGAAGGGTGAAGTGGGGTCTCAGCCTTGAAGAGAATGGAGTTCATGAACTCACTGCTTTGGATGAAGAGCTGCTCCTCGAAGCCATTGCAAATTCCGATTATGACAGATTCGATGGAGTTGGACATGCGGTTGATCCGTTTCTCAATATCATCATGTGTGAGATTTGTCAATGGTGTCCCTGGAACAGAGCAAAAAACAGGAGGCCATTACTTGGAATTTTTTATTCTCCCAGTTTCTCCTATTCTCAGCTCGTCTCACTATCAGCCAATAACTGAGGCCCTAACCAAGATGGGGGTTAAATGGAGCACGAAGGATACGATAGGAAGAAGAATTGAAATCCAGGGGGATATCAGTAAATTAGAGGATCGAGGGAAAACTTCAAACCCATAGGTGGAAGGTTATCAAGATTGATGGGAATGCGGAGCAGTTAGATCTTATTCAATGATCGAACAGGCTCAAAGGTGTCAATTGCCCTACAGTTGCCCCTAATTTGTATGTTTCTACACTAAAGGGGAGGCTGGAGGGTTAACTGCTGTTGGATAACATGGATATTGAAAGGGAAGGAGATATCTCTGACTAACAGTGACACTTTCCCCTGCTGCTATGCTCAGGCTTTGTGAGTGGAAGCCACCATCAGTCCAGAAAACACATCCAGCCTCCCCCAAAATTGAGGAATGTTGTACATGAAGTTTAGTATCAGTGTCACATCAGCTAGATAGGTCTGACACCCCAGAACTTGGCTGAGCAAATCAAACCATTTGTCACAGGCACTATATCCACAGGCATCCACTGCCTCCACTGCTGTCGCTCAGTATCAGCAACGTGTACCATTTACAAGATGCACTGCATCTCGGCTCCACCATCTGCAACTGAATCCTCAGCTTTCTGACACACAGACCGCAATCAGTGAGGATAGGTAACTGCTCCTCCACAATAGCACTCAACACTGCAGCCCCCAAAGAATGTGTTCTCAGACCCCTACTGTACTCCCTGTAAACCTACGACTGCGTTGCCAAATTCCGAACGAATGCCATTTACAAGTTCACTGATGACACCACCGTGACAAGATGGATATCAAACAACAATGAGTCCAGAAGGGAGATAGAGGGCTTGGTGACCTGGTGCAATGAAAACAATCTCCCTCTCAACGTAAGCAAAACTAAAGAACTGATCATTGACTTCAGAAAGAAAGGGGGAGAACACGTCCCCATCTACATCAACAGAGCTGAGTTTGAGAGGGTGGAGCGGGTCCAAGTTCCTAGGAGTGACAATAACCAACAACCTGTCCTGGATTTCCCACGTAGATGAGACGGTCAAGAAGGCACAACACCACCTCTTCTTCCTCAGGCAGCTCAGAAATTTGGCATGTCCATGAGGACATCACCAATTCCTACAGATGCACCACTGAAAGCATAATGGCCTGATATGGCAACTGCTCTGCCCAGGACCATAAGAAACTACAGAAGATGGTGTGCACAGCCCAGACCGTCAAGGACGCCAACCTTCCATCCATGGACTCCATTTTCGTGGCTTGTTGCCATGGAAATGCTGCCAACATCATCAAAGACTCATCGCTCCCCGGTAATGATCTCCTACAAACTCTTCTGTCAGGCAGAAGATACAGAAGTTTGAACACATGCACCAGCAGGTTCAGGAACAGCTTCTTTCCTGCTGTTATCAGACTGTTGAATGGACTCTCTAACTTCAAACAATGCTGATCTTGCTAACACTGATCTTGCTTTGTGCACCGCCTGTGCAGCTGTAACTCGTATTGCCTCTGTTTAGTTTTAATTTCACCATATGATCTGTACGTTCTTGCTTATTATGATCTGCCTGTACTGCTCATAAATAAAGCTCTTTACTGTACTTAGGTACACGTGACAATAAATCAATCAAATCAAATCAAATAACTTCCATCTAGAAGGACAAGAGCAGCAGATACTCGGGAACACCAACCCCCTGCAAGTTCCCCTTCAAGCCACTCACCATCCTGACTTAGAAATATATTGCCGTTCCTTCAGTGTTGCTGGGTCAGAATTTTGGAAAACTTACAACACGTGAACTGCAGCGGCTTAAGGAGTCAGCTTACCAACACCTTCTCAAGGGGCAACTAGGGACGGACAATAACTGCTGGCCAGCCAGCGATGCTCACATCCCATAAAAAAAAATTTAACCACAACTGGGCAGCACAATAACTGAATTAAAATAACCAAAAGTTCAGGACATGATTCATTATGCTTCCTAGAAGCGACATGCACATATTTTCTCAGGGACTCATTCTGTGCAAAGAACAGAGATGTGCTCAAGCTGTGTGTCCTTTTTAAATTGCCCAGGAGCTGGGAGCCTCTAGTTCCCTGTTGCCTTCTCAATGGCAGTGCCTCAGCCAATTGGAGCTGACTGGTCCTTTCTTCTTTCCTCCTACACTATGAAGTCTTATGATGGTTTTGAAATAGTTATATTCTTATGTTTGTCCTGATCAGTGCAAGATGGAAAGCTTTCAGCTACATCTGTCTTTTCAGCAACATTGGAGAGTTATTGAGTGTAAGGACAGTAGTGAGTGAGGAGTTGAAGACACAGAGAAGTCAGTGAAAAGACAGATTGTGCTAGGATTCAGAACACAGGTGCCAGAAACTACCCAAAGCCCACAACACAAACCGTCCGTGGCACCTGGTGCTTCCATCAGAGACGACACAAACCATAGTTTGAGGTGTATTTGTTTTCAGAGAAAGTGCAGCTATCTGCTGTGGTGGTATAATTTAGTTTACTGACCCTCAGCAGAAATGGACAGATAGTTTTATTGTTCACAACCTGGATGAGCAGACCATTTCCTATCCCACCGTCTAAATTGTGAAATTAAATTCACTGGCAGTTCCCTGTGAATCAACAGCAGACAGTGTAATCACAGACTAACTGAGTACATCGTGGACAGAGTGAGATGTTTAGAATTTGATAGGTTGAAATTTAACTTAAACTCTGAACAGATCTGGAGAGGAACTTGCTGTGAGAGAGGGGATCCAGTCTTTGTGGTTCATGTGGATACCAATGACATAGATTGAACTAGGAAAGAGGTTCTGTATAGAGAGTATGGGGAGATCAGCAATAAATGGAGAAGCAGAATCTTAAAGGTCAGAATCTCAGGATTATTACTTGAGCCACATTCGAATTCAATGCTGGCAAATCAGATCAGTGAGGTGAATGCCTGGCTCAAAGACTGGTGTAGGAGAAGTGGGTTCCAATTCTTGGGGCATTGGTACCAGTTCTGGGGGAAATGCGGACTGTACCAATGGGCAGTCTCCATCTGAACTGTACTGGGGTCAGTCTATTTGTAAATGACATACCTTGGTGAAGTGTAGAGGGTTTTTAACTAAATTTAAGGGGATGCCATGATCTCATGGTATTATCACTAGACTATTAATCCAGAGATCCAGATAATGTTCCAAGGACACGGGTTCAAATCCCACCACAACACTTTATGTAATTTGAATTCAATAAAAAAAAATCTGGAATTAAGAGTCTAATGATGACCATGAAACTGTTATTGATTGTTGGGAAAAACCCATCTGGTTCACTAATGCCCTTTAGGGAAGGAAACTGCCATCCTTATCTGGTCTGGTCTACATGTGACTCCAGACCCACAGAATGTAGATGACTCTCAACTGCCCTCTGGGCAATTAGGGATGGGCAATAAATTCTGGCTTAGCCAGCGATGCTCCCATGCTGTGAATGAATAATAAGAAAAATATTGGGGGCAAGGGATTCGATGTGGTAATTTAAAGAGTAGAGACAACATAAGGAAGAAAAAGTAGTAAAATGGGAAATGAGGGTCAGAGAATAGCACGAAGGGTTAGAGAGACAACTATCACAAATACACCAAAAATCATAACTCAACGTTACAAAGGTAACAAAAAGACAAAGCTAAAGGCTCTGTATCTGAATATACCTAACATTCATAACAGAGACAGCAAGTTGATAGCTCATATTAAAGTAAATAAATATGATTCAAAAGCCTTAACTGAGTCATGGCTTCAGGAACCTTTGAGAAAATGAAGAAGCTCAGCAAAGGCGGAGTACAGCACTGTTCTTCAATGATGGCATTGGTGCAATAGTTAGACATGACCTTGGTTGAGGAGATCAGGATGTGGAATAGGTTTGGGTGGGGATGAGCAATAGGAGAACAAAGAAGTCACTTGTGGGAGGGGTCTGAGCCTCTAAATGTGACCACAATGTGGACAAAATAAACAAAGAAATGCTGGGTGCTTGTAATAAAGGGATAGTAACAACCATGGGTGACAGTCATTTATGTATAAATGTGAAAAATCAGATTGACAGGGCGAAGAGTTCACAAAATGGTTCTGAGATAGTTTCTTAGAGTAGCACGTTCTGGAACTGACCAGATAGTGGGCTACGTTATACTTGGGATTACATACTGTAACAGGATTATTTAATCACCTCAGTGTTAAGGCAGTAGCTACAGTCTGATTGAATCTTACATCCTGTCTGAAAGGGATAGGATTAGGTTTAAGACTAGTGTTTTAAACCTAAGCAAGGGCACGATGAGGGCATGAAAGCTGAGCTAGCTAAAGTGAACTGGCATTCTAGGCAAAGGAATAGATCGATAGAGACACTGCATAAGGTACTTAAAGGGATACGTTGGGATACTCAGAATAAGTAAATTCTTGAGGTCCTATGCTCACCACAAAAGAAAAATTCAAAAGAGAGGATCCCCCCATTTTCCATTAATTAATGGAGTTAGGGAAAGGATCAAACTTAAGAAAGAAGTAAAAAGCTGCACAGAGATGAGTGGCAGGTCAGATGATGGGTTAGAATATAAAGAATGGAAGAGAATAACTAAAAAGATAAACAGGAAGTAAAAAAAAATCAGAGTATGAGGGGAAGATAGCTAGGAATGTAGAAACAGTAGCAACAGGTATTTAAAACAGAAAAGGGTAAATAAAGTGAGTGTTGATTCTCTAGAGAATAGAAAATGGTATGTCAATACTAGATAATAGGGAAATGACAGATGAAATGAACAAATACTTTGCTTCTGTCATCAGGACAGACAATATTAGAAACATTCCAGTAATACGTGTAAATCGAGAGGTTGAAAGGAGACAGGAACTGAGGGAAATTATCACAGGGGAAGCAGTATGGAGCAAATTGATGGACAAGTATCCACAT